ACGGAAGAATGAAGAAAAGAAATAAAAATGAAGTTAAGATAAGAAGTAATCTGGAATCAGAAAGCACTACGCTAAGTAATTACTAGTCTGTTTATGTGTCCCTGTATATTTTGCTAAACATGCATGCATTATTTGTTTAATAGAAGAAAATATATACAGGGTAAAGAAGTGCCTTCCAGGGGAAACGTTTAAATTAGGTAATTCTAATTTTAACTTCTTAGTCAAATTATTGAAATGCGATTTAAAAAAATAACCCTTTGTAGTCAAATATTAGGCAGGATTGAGCTCTCCAGCTTGAACTGGCTTCGTGTTGTTCCCTATAGATTTTTTTGCCTTTCTGACTGCTGGTGCTGGGGCATGAGTGAGTACTTCCAGAGTTGGAACTGGTGGTCTGTGCTGCTACTCCCACCCACCTCCCTGCCCCGACTTTTACAATGCACTGACCCCTATCTTTCAGTACTGAAGAATGTATAGTAAAATATTTTCAAAGTTTTTCTAGAAGAATGTCACCAGGATAGTTACAGAACCAAGCCCTCAAAATCCAAGGAAAGCAATAAACAGGATAGTTACTTTTGGCATTTAATGAAAACATTAATTTCATTCCAGATGGCAATAGTGGAAAGCTATGACCACTTAAGCCCTAACTTTAAGATGCATGTGTGTGCTAAATTCACAAGGATGATTCTTAATTCTTTTCTGTTTAATGCTTATTCCAGCTGAATGACAAGGGTTACTGCTTAAAAATACACTGGCTTCCTTTAGAGTAAGGTGGGTTACATAAGTGAACAATTAGGATATCTAACTCAAGGGTGCTTTTTTCAGAAATCAGGTGCTTTATTTCTTTTTCTCATTTTCTGCTATTAACACTTAGCTATTATAATGATGTGAGAGGTATATAATAGCTATATTCTTGTTCCCTATGCCCACCACCTATTGGGGAGAATAAATCCCAAAGTTCTATCATTTCCCCTTCTGTGTGTTTTGTTTTAGCTGAACAGGAGAGTCAGACGGCTGGTATAATGACGTTACCTTCAGTTGGATGGGACAAGTACACATGTCAAAGTAATACTTAGTGGTAGCCAAACCAACAGCTGTCTTCTGCCCTATTGGGAAAGCCAAGGTTATCACATCTGCTTCCTGAAATAAAGACAACCTAAAAAATTTCTCTGAGAGTTGTCAGATCTTACAGCTAATGGAAAAAGTGCCTTAAATGACATTTCTAGAAAGATCCGTTTTCTGAGGTATTAGGGCATATTGTCAGTTTGAAATTGACCTTATAATATTTATTTGGGTATCTTGCAAGCAGAAGAAAATTATTTCCATTCATAGGGGACAGTTTCTAGTCTTTGCTTTACCCCAATTACTGCTTTGTGACATTTCTTGCCACATAGCAACTAATAACATTAAATTAATGTTAATGTTGCATTCTGAATTACTTACAGGTTAGGCAGAGACCTGGGGTAAAAGTGAATGGATAGTTAGTTCTATTCAAGCCCATAGATTCTTTTATTAGGAGACCTGAAAAGTCCTTGGGGTCCAAAAGAGAAAGGACCTATTAGCCCTCAAAGGGGAAGAAAACAGTTTGAGATTTGATTGTATGACTAAGGTAGATAGGTATGAGGCAAAAATAAACATTGATGCTATTGGACCATCTCATCCATTTGGGGTTTTTGTCCCCTTGGCCAAAGCATCTCTGAGGGACACCCACACACCTGCCATTGAGCCGGTAAGGGAGAGAGAGGCCTCTTGTCCTGGGTAGTAAGGTACATGCACCCCGAGGGTTGATTAATGCCAGGGGCAGGTGGGGCAGAGATGATAGAAACAAAACAAGGTTTTAGGAAAGGTGCCTTTGCCACGAAAAATCAGATAGGTACGATGCATAAAACTTCAGAATTGGACTAAATCGATGAGACTTAATTAGCATCGTAAATAAGCTGCTTTTAAGAAATGTAGACAGCCAACTCTAGACCTACTAAAATCAGCTCGTTTGGGGACTTGTATTTTTAAATGCTACATAGGTTTACTGCATGCCTTTAAGAGTCACAGTTTTAAATCTGATTTACTTCATTCCGTTTTTTAAATAATACAGGAGAAACCTAGCGATTGGTTGGTTATTCCCACTTCTGTCATCTCCTTTCAGAAAGTTTTTCTAAGATACTGCGGTTCTCAGAATAGGGAGATGGAGATTAAGGCATTTTGTTGGAAGGCTGAGTTTTTCCTAATGTGTTGTTCCCTGTAGGTTGTATAGTAGTATATGACTAAGAACCAATCTATAAGAACTTAATTCCTTGAGCAGTTTTCAGGGAATTTTTGTCTTTATTTTAATTATGCTAATCTTAAATTCATGATCCTTTTCATTGAGGTATTGATGTACAGAGTAGTGCTTCTTTTGGTAGGGTTTTAATATGTTGGCACTTGTAGTTTTGTCACCTCTGAAAGTGGACTTGGAATTTTCCTTGTGTGTAGGGGGCTTTCCCAGCTGGTTTTACAGATTTGCCTGTGGATTAAGGTGTAAAAGTTAACTATAATATATGCTTTTAGATTTAATTAATAATTTTTGGTCTCATTTCTTCTAGACAGATTAAATTTTCTTGCATATATTTCTAAACCAGCTAGTGGCCAACATAGCTACAAATGGGTTTAATATCCATGACAAGTGAAGTAGGTGGAGGCATTGTTTAGGTGTTAGCCTTACCAAATGTCAGTATACAAGGAAAAGGCATTGCATTCTGATTTTTACCCTATTCCTGGTCTAAAAAAGGATTGCTCACAAGATCTCTGCATAGAACCAGTTAGTTAGAGCCTGAGTGAAAAGCCTTGTAAATTTCAAAGTATTTTCTCTCAGTGGACAGACTGGTAAAAAGCATCTCAGCTTGGAAAAGGACTGTTTTGTTTAATGAAGCAAGAGGTTTAACTTGACTTTCTACCTTCTCTTCCCTTATACTCAGATCCCTAGGCTGACTGGTTTCTGTTACTGCAATAACTTTATTGGTAGTCTAACTCAAAAGTTATTTGGTTTCCATAGTTATAATAGCTCCGTGAAGTAATCTTTTTAGCAATGGAAGAACAAGGGCACTTAGTAACTTTTGAGTCCCTGTTACTTTCTTCTAGATTCGCTTTTGCCTGTGGTAGAAACGACAGTCCCATTTTGAGAACTGTGTCCAAGGAGGGAAGTGAGGTGAATTGTGCTTTCAAATATCCCAGTGTTCAGAATATTTTTGCCAGAGAAAGCCAACGGGTCCCCAAAGTCGCAGTACATCTTTTGAACTATTACTTGGTGTTAAAAGCAGCCCTTTTCATTCATAATCGAAAGTACCCTCTTTTCCTTTGAATCTTTTTATAGTCACTCTTGGGAGAACGTGTGGAAAGTGCCATATTTTGTGTCACATCACACCATGTTTTATATTGACTTTGAAATCTTGTTAGAAAGTTTCTAAAGTTGTTTTGGGCCTAGACACCAGAATTCATTTTACAGGCTGAGTTACTTTTCTTCTCTGTTCTAATCTAATCTAATTTTAATTTGTCTCTCTTGAACCCCCCCCCCTTGGGCATTGTAGAAAGGATCTTCCTAATTTTCTCCATTACATTGTAAATCTGCTGTAAATCACAGAACATACTCTAAAATGTGGGCTATAATTTAAAACAATCACATATCTTCTATCCTTTCAAGAATGGCCAGATAATTCTAAAGGTCTACCACACAAGGCAGTCTCCATGATACTTTTATCCAGCAGCTTCGACATTTGATTCTTTCTTCTGTAGTGACTTGTGAGATTGATTCCTTTTGTGTCTACCCACTTTTGTTCTACCTTGGGTGGAAAGACTCACTAGACTATGCCTTTTAATTTGCCTAACATGGATAGATTACCAGAAGTAAAAGTTGTTTTGCTTGATGCTGCCTCAGTTAGCTGTCAGACTAAGTGGGTGTTCTCTTTATCCAGTTTTGGTGCCTTGGCAGACCATTTCTCTAATTCTATTATTTATTATACATGTATGCCTTTTCTCCTGATAAGTTGCCTAGTTATTTGTTTACCCATTCCATAGCTATTTTTTTAGAGACTTTCCTTTTTGTGCCACTTAACCTACCAGCTTAGTCCTAGTTTTGATTGGGAAAGCTCTGGGTATATAGTAGTATATACCTATACTTTGGTTTTTGCATATGGTTCCTGAACTCTCTCCCTTTCTGAGCCTAGATTAGGAGCTCTTAATCTGTTCTGGTTTTAATATGTCCTTCAGATAACTTTTCTAGCTTATTTTCAGTTCCACATCAGTTTGCCCTGGCTCAACTCCATTTATTTAGCTGAGGAAGCTGTAACTCTGGCACACTAGACTCTCCTTGCCTTTGCATAATTCACTGCCTTTCTACTGTAGCTTCATCTGGTTGCTTTGTTTTTCTTAGGGGCCTCCCACCATGGTTAGATGGAATAGGGTCTTAAACAGGGTCTAGTGTCCTTCAAGCTGGTCCTTGCTTTCCACTACTAGGTTTCTACCTTTTTCTAGGACTTGAACAGATTATCCTTGACTCTCTTCCCACTATAATTTGAAATGTTGAGGTCTTAATAGAGCAAAAACGTTTTAAAAGTAAGTTTTATGAATTTCGTAGGGTTTTTGTTTTATTGATGGCAACGTAATTGAAATAGGTGTCATAGTTATTAATAAGGTTCTTTCTCCACCCTAGTCTTTATGGAGTAACATTCCCAAAACACAATCCTTGGACAGTCCCTCCACTGCTTGGCTTTGACACCCTTTTCTGAAGAGACTACTGGGGTCAGTTAACTCTTATCCCTGCTCCAAAAAAAGGTGAAAGTTCAAGTTAATTGACTTATGTCAATTGGAGCAATGTAACTATTAATACCAGGTATAATTCAGTCCTGCCCTTACCTATGTTTTCTTATCTTGGAAGGGGATTGCTTTCCCTCACCATTTATCTTACAGCAGCTTATTTGTTTTTAAAGTTGCTTAGAAAGTATACAAATTAAACTTTTGACATCTACGTGTAGGAATCCCGTTCTGCTTCCAGAAGTGGAAGTGCTCATGGATCTGGGAAATCTGCAAGGCATACCCCTGCAAGGTCTCGCTCCAAGGAAGATTCCAGGCGCTCCAGATCAAAGTCCAGGTCCAGATCTGAATCTAGGTAAGAAAGACTGTCTTGGGATTTTCTTCTGTTACTCTTAGCTTTGAAATTGGTGTGTGGTTTGTAAACTAGGAAGATAGAGAGGATTAGATCATTTGTTGGCCTATTTAATATTGGTACTAGAAATGAACTTAATTGTTAAGTTCTGGGAGACCTAAGACTAAGTGGTGAAGAGCCTGGGCTTTTTGAGTTAGGCTTCAAATCTTACCTCTATTTTTTTCTGGCTTGGGCAGATTACATAACCTTTTTTCACCTTAGCTTCCTTATCTATAAATGCAAGTTAGTAATAGAGCCAGTTCTTTAGAATTGTTGTGAGGATCCATTATGAGTTTTTAAGTAAACTGTTTATTAGTATGGCAAATATACTGCAGAATATCGGCTTTCGGTAACTACAATTCTTGATAAATAGTTGTAGTCTAGTATCATATACATGTATGTATAAAACAAAAGTAATACAGTGCACTTTTTTTTTAATGTTGGTCAAGAGTTTGTCCCTGGTTTGCCCGGGCAGCCCCAGTTTATATAAGCCTATTGTCAGGCATAATCAGCAGCACCCCTTTTTTCTCTTAAATATCCTGCCTGGTTTAGATGACAGTTCATATGATTACTCTAGTGATCTAGTGAAGAACAACTGGTTGATTTTAAAACACTGCTGGAGGAAACTACTGTGGTGGTGACTTTCACATAAGTGAATGATGGTCATAATAGGGGAAACAGAAAACAGGGTGGTATTCCAAGGGGGAAAGGTAGGCACAAATCAAGCTGGTAGGAAATGCATGTTTTATGATTTTTCAAGATATTGAGTGTTTAATTTCTTTTAAGAAATGTTGGAAGGGAGCTAGTAGTGGGGTTTTTTAAATTATTTTTTTCAGTTATAGTTGACATTCAATATTTTATGTTAGTTTCATGTGTACAAGCTAGTAGTGGTTTTAGGACTTGTCCTAGCAGAGTTGAAATGACCATTGATTATAGAAGAAAACTATTGATTCCACTTAGTTGGTACCATGTATGCCTGGATTGTGTTCCGTCTTCTGGACTTTAGAGTGTTAAAAGAATTAAAGGCTGTATCTTGTCAGCTATTTAGTTATAACCTTTAATCTTTTGTTTTGTAGGTCTAGATCCAGAAGAAGTTCTCGAAGGCATTACACAAGGTCAAGATCTCGGTCTCGCTCCCATAGACGATCCCGTAGCAGGTCTTACAGCAGAGATTATCGAAGACGTCATAGCCACAGTCATTCTCCCATGTCTACTCGCAGGCGTCATGTTGGGAACCGGGTAAGATGAAAAATACTCTGTTTTTGAAGCGCATTGGACTGTCTAAAGCCATTTTATTAATAACAGTCCTATCTTGTTTTGCTTTGTTTTGTGTTTTGGAAATTAGAACTATTTTGAAAGTGGAGCATTAACAGTGAAGACATGAGTTGCCTTTTGAGGCTTTTTAGTGTTTTGAGATAGTCTCTTTTAAGGTATCTCCCATGTAATAGTCTACATTTGGGCTGTTGGTTACATTTTAAGTAAAACATTGTCATATTGGTATAACTCCGCCTATCAAATAAAAATCCATTGTGCATTATTTTTATAATAGTACATTAGATCATATAGCGTCTGTATATGTTCCATACTAGTGTTATTCAGATTTTCTGGGTTTGTTTTAATATACCTTCTACATAACACACTTCTGACTTTACTGTTTAACTGTATGTAAACAAGTTTTTTTCAGATAGTAAGGCTTTTCTTTTTCTTGTCTTTCACAAAAGGTTCCAAATGAGGTGGCATTTAGTGTATTTGTATTGTGATTTCATCATATAATCCAAGTGGTTTTGTAGGGTGTATTAAGAGTGGAACAGGATATGTAGTAAATAAATGAAACCTTTGGGTAAATTCATTATAGCAACCGGAGTGTCAGCAGTATATGTCTCATTTTTCTTTATTATAACGATTGCAAGCAGCTTAATACCTGTTAAAAAGTTTTAGTTTAGTGCACATCTTTGGCTTCATTTATGTGTATATGTGAATACTTGTGTATATTGTGTTTCTAAAAATAGAATCAAGGTGAACATCCCTTTCTATATCTTGGGCAGTTCAGACCATTCATTCAGACCATGTAGATGGTATATCTTAATTTAGCATTTTTAATAGCTTATCATTTCATTTCTCTGGTTTGTAGAGACAACATTATTCTGAGCATCCTTATGCCTATATTGTCAATGTGCTGGCATTTCTTAGAATAAATTCCTAGAAGGTGAATCCCTCAGGTAAATTGCCCTTTACATCTCCCCCAAAAAAGCCAGTTTGCTTTTCAATAGTATATGCCTCTATTTTCCTCCACTTAATTCTAGGGTTGAAATTATTCCTTTTATAATCCTTTCTGTCCATTCTTAAATATGCTTGTAGCACTTGTTGTACCACATTAATTTTAAGTGTTTAGTCTGTTTATCTACTTTTATTGGTAGTGACATTTTTAGCTAATTTATGTATGGTCACCCTTTTTAAAAAACTTTCATGAGAAATTTTAAATCCACTTTTCTATTTCTAGGCAAATCCTGATCCAAACTGTTGTCTTGGAGTATTTGGATTGAGCTTGTACACTACAGAAAGAGATCTAAGAGAAGTGTTCTCTAAATATGGTCCTATTGCTGATGTGTCTATTGTATATGACCAGCAGTCTAGACGTTCAAGAGGATTTGCCTTTGTATATTTTGAAAATGTAGATGATGCCAAGGAAGTAAGTAAAAGCCTACCTGTACCTTGTAAAATACCAGTCCTATTGTGAACTTTTCAGGGTACTAATGACCAAGTACTTGGGTAAAGACAATTTTTGTTTTTGTGTTGTAGATAGGCTATGTAACTTTAGCTTGAGTTAAAGGAAATGCATTTTTCTGAGAACAGATTGGCATCAGTAATACTTTGAACTTCTTTTACAGCCTTTTGTGGAAGATTTCAAAGATACACAGAAAAACAGAAAAGTATGACTTAATGACAATTGGTTCTCTCTCTCACACACACCCATACCCAACCAAACCTTTCAGTACTTAACAACATGTGGCCTCCTATACTCCCAACAATTCAGTCAACCACCACCACCCCAGTGTTTTAAAGTAAATCCTGACACTTCATACATGACTGATCCAAATGTGATACATACTTAGATAAAGGTATCTTAAAATATGAGAATGTTAATATTCTTGCTTAGTATTTAATCAGTGTTTACATTGAGCAATTTTTTAGAATGGAGAAAAAATAAGTTACAACTCAGGAAAAAGTGTATTGGCAAAGTGATTCCATATTTAGATGTTAATTGACTTGAGGCAGAACGTAAGAGATAAACAACTTGTAGTATGTAGACTAAAAGTAGAGTGCACAAATCTGGGCCACATTTTAAAATTTGGCTTGAGACTCAATGATAGTAGGTGAAGTCATTTCCAAGGGAAACATAAGGAAAAGCTTGGGAAACAAGGACAATTAAAGGATCAATGTTTTGGGAGGGGTTTTTTGTTGTTTTATTTTTTTTATTGTGAAATACACATTTTTTAAAAAATCAGTTTCAGCTGTACAACACATTGCAATAGTTATACTTTTTACCCCTCAAAGTGACAACCCCCTCCCCCAATCCGCTACCCCACTTCCCCTCTCCCCATATCATACGTATCTATTACAATTCCCTTGACTCCACTCCCATACATGACTCCATGTCCCGTGACCATATATATATATAGTCACTTATAATTGACATACAATATTATACAACATCAGCTTCGGGTGTACAGTGCAGTGATCAAGCCTCTACCCCATCCACGATGCGGTCTCCCTAACAAGATGTGACCATCTGACACCCTACAAAATATTTACAGCATTATTAACTATATTAAGGGATCAATGTTGAGATTAGGAATTCAGCTCTAGATAAAATTATATAGTTCTTTATGAAAATTATGCTAATTTTTGAAAACTGTAAGAGTAACCTGATGTAAAGGAAAAATTGAAAACTGGATCCAAGTAATTAACAATGTATGACTGAGATTTGAGAAATTTGAAAGTATGCTTTAAGATGTCATTCAGCTTCATTTAGTAATAATCGATGCCCAAAGGTATAAATAGGATTTGCTCAAGGTTACTAACAGCATAGGCCTGATTTCCCTAACTTTTTGGTACAGGACCACAGTTTTCTGTAGAATAGCATATTATATCTGAATCCATAATGCCAGAAACTGTCTTCCGAGGTTTAAACTTTCAAAGTAGAAAAGGGCATAATTGGAATTAGAAATTTAAATTCTACTTAAGTGGAGGGGTGTTCTTTAAAATTGTGAACAAACTGCTGCTAAGTCTTTGGAATGGGATTTTCGTTTCTGCTATGAAGTGCATACTCTTTCAGTTAATGTATAGATGAAGGAACTATATGTAGCTGTCTTCAATTCCAGCTTTCTGCTTCCATAGCAGGAATCCATCAACTTTTCTGTAAAAAAATTAGACAGTAAATATTTGGGGCCTTATGAGCCATAGGGCATCAATCACAACTTTTCAACCCTGTCATTGTTGTGCAAAAAACAGCCATAGACAATAGGTAAATTAATCAGTGGGGTTGTGTCCCAATAGAACATTACTTGTGGCCACTGAAATTTGAACTTCATATAATTTTCATTTATCATGAATTTTCCTAGCCATTTAAATTCTTAACTTCTGGGTCATAGTTTGCAAACATGCACTGTTTTAGAGCTAGAAGCACTAAATTGTGGTTAGGTACCATAATTCAAGTATTTCATGGGTTAAATTGACCTTTATGGCTTTTTTGATACTTATTCTTGAGTTTTGTGACTAGCTTTTACAAATGAAATACTTCATTGGGGAAACAAGCCTGTTAAGTTATAGGCCATAATGTTCTGGCCAATGTTAAAAGAGTTTAATGCACGTAACAGAACATCCCGTCAGACTTATAGCCATTGGATAGTTTTGGCTTTGTTCAGGATATTGTGTGTGTGTGTGTAACAACTTAATTATCTTTTGAAGGCAAAAGAGCGTGCCAATGGAATGGAGCTTGATGGACGTAGAATCAGAGTTGATTTCTCTATAACCAAAAGACCACATACCCCAACACCAGGAATTTACATGGGGAGACCTACCTAGTAAGTTTATTTTTAAGGTAAAAATTTGACTGTTCAGTTTGTTCACTTGTCCCAGAAATACATCTACTGGGGGGAAATCTTTGGCATTTCATCTAATCTTGCCACAGTATAAATCAATTTTCCTGTTTATCTTAACTGGTTAATACTATATCTTAACTGGTTAATGCTATTTGATAGGATGTGTTCAGTGAAAACATTCTATTTGTGCCAAAATTTCTGATTGACCCCATTACATAAATCCCACCCCACTTTATCATAAAGAAATGCTATATGTTTGGCTTTGCTTGGTAATTAAATGTTCCTTGTTAGATCATTGTTTCCATAATGGAAACTTAACCATTATAGGTAAAATCAAGTTTGTATACATCATACTCAAGTGCGTATTTTAGTTTTTGTTTCCTTAAGCAGAGTGGAAAAAAAGGACTCCGGTTTTTGCACTGAACTGATATAGGATACTTTTTTCATTTGTCATCAGTTTTACCAGTGTGTATATTGACAGAAAGCTCTAAATTGAATTCATTTTTAAATTTAATGTTCTTATTTAAGGTAGAAAATTGTAATGTACCATAATTGCCATGTTTTTTCTTTTTAATAGGGCGAATATTTTCACACTCAAAACTACATTTTCCATATGATTTGATTTCTCTACCTCTAGAGAAAATGTGGGATTGGCAAATTGACTTAGTTGAAAGCAAGTTAGTACTCCTAAATCAAAAGATTATATAAATATGTACATACATTGTTACGGGGGAAAAAGGGACATTGTCCATCCACTGTCAAATGGGAACAATACTCATTTTTCAATTAATTCATGCACAGGTCTTTTCTGATAAGTACATTATCAAAAGAGGCCTGCCTATGAGTTAATGATTGTGAGTTGTTAGTTGATATCTTTACTTTTTTGCCCAGAAGAAGAGCATAAAGCAATTGCCCAGTCATGTCCATAGAGCTTGGCTGTGTGGGTTGTGTTACTCTTAAGATCCAAATAATCATGGTATTATTCTGCTGCTGTTAATATCTAAACAGCTTTTAACAGCAAAAGTCATGTCTAGGAAGATAGGGAAGGCAACTTGAGATTTTATTAAGATATGTTATTATTCATAGTGGCAGCTCACGCCGTCGTGATTACTATGACAGAGGATACGATCGAGGCTATGATGATCGGGACTACTATAGCAGATCATACAGGTAAGTTAACCATAATATGAAGTTATAAAATGTTGCCAAAAGTTTGAAGGAAGCACCAACTCTTCTGAATCACGGCTGTAACTGAGCAGCACTAGACCTGGGTTAGCTTTTTAATAAAAGCTTTAGTTTATATTATACTAAGAAATCTAGAGCTAGAGTTGAAACCAGATTTGAAGGTTTTGTGTCACATAACATGTATATTGCTTTTTAAACATCAAGTGTTGTTAACCAACCAAAATACCTGGTTTCAAGAATAATTGGAAATAAAATTATCGTGTTTTGCTGTATATAATGGGCACTTTTTTTTGCCCAAATCGGTGAGGGAAAAATAAGGATGTGTATTATACATGGGTAGTACTGATTCTGTATCTATAAATGTTTTTAATTCTTTTATTTATGCTTATGAGTCAAAAGTGTAACTATAGAAATCAATGATATTTGTATGCAAAATAATACCCTGGAATACAATAATTGGTTTTGTTGAACTTACGATGAACTTGCAACAATGAAGAGTTCTTGACTTTGTATGATGCGTAAATAACGTGCATTTGTTACAGGTACATCAAGTTTCTTGTACCTTGTATCTGTTCTTGTGTTTTGTAATAGTTACATAAAATTTCTTATACCATGATATGTTAAAAGAGAAATACTAAAATTCCTTTGTAATACAAAAAACAAGTACATAAGTACTTAAACAAGCACATAAACATTTGAATTAAGAAATTAAAACGAAAAATTTTTTTTTCCCTTGGAAGTTCGGGCTAAAAACACGGGTGCGCATTATACATAGCAAAATACGATATAGACCATATTTCAGTTTTTCCCTTTTTAGTGTTTGGGGTTGGTTTTTTTTTTAATGCAAAATAAGCTATATAAAGCAATTTTTGGTCTAATGTATCATGCACACTAGAAGTTAGAGAAAACTTAATTCTTGAAAGAGCCCATAAAAGTAATTAAGAACAATAAGAGTTCTTTCATTGCCAGAATATTGGTATATATTTTACAGGGTAGTAGGGAAATGCCTATCGTACTTGGAAAAACAAAAGATGTCTTTGAGGATACTTTTCAAAGATAAAAATGAAGTACAAATTTTGTTTTAGAAGCAGCAGGTAATTTATAACCCAGCCTTGTCAAAATGTAAATTGTGTAATAATTGATGACAGCAGTAATCCATGATACCTTGTTTTGGTGTGATGTTGCAGTGAATTTTTTGTTTTTTTACACACTATTCTTAATGTTTTAAGAAGTTGACAATTGTCGATGTGTTGCTATCTATGTATGTGAGTTGTCAAGGGTGTTCCTGACATTTTTGGCCAGCATTTTACTGTGGACAGAAAGCCTTCCTAACCCCCTTAGAGTGCGTTTGCATTAAGTGGCACTTAGGGGATTGAGTTTTGGAGGCTGTGAAGATTACCGTAGATTTGATTTTTATTTTAATCAACTTGAGCATTTACTTAGAATTGTTGTTCGTTGTTAATGATACTTGTTCTAACCACCAGAGAGAGCTTGGTGCTGGTTTGTAAAGAGAGGGACAAAAGTAGCTCTTTATCACTACTTAAAAGACATTGGCTTTCATTTTTGCTCTCACAAGTTTTTATTTTTCTGCATGAATTGTATATCTTTCAAAAACTCATAAAAATGAATGTTTTTCTGCCTTCACAGAGGAGGAGGTGGAGGAGGAGGAGGATGGAGAGCTGCTCAAGACAGGGATCAGATTTACAGGTGTGCCAGGGGAGGGTTTAAAATCTGTACAGCAGTAGAATGGCTTACACAAAGACACTCCGTTACTGGTATTTTGGTAGTTAAAGTATAAGTGGCATCGCACAAAATTAGATTACATGAAGTTCATTATAAAATATGTAACCGAAGCCATTTGTGATTTTGCAGAAATTAATTGGACTTTTACTCAGTAATTACTCAGTGGTACCATTTTGTACTTGAATGAAATAATGATGGTATAAATTAAGGTCATTGATAAGAACCCATAATATTTTTAGTCTTTATTCCTCATAGTATCCTCTTGGACTTTTTTCTTTGTTTTAAA